TGGGTAACATGTTGCTATGGTAACGGATGAAGGCTTGCCCGGTTAAACATCCTCTAAGCACAGTGGTATTTTCAGTCTGGGGCTTCAAATAAGACCTATCATCTTTGCTTCTTTGTTGTTTGCATTAATTATCTATCATTTCTCTGAGCAGAACCGCAGGTGAGGTTGCTTAACAGTATGTTATCTGCCAGATCCATATGACTCTCTCTTGCCTCTTGAAGAAAGCTGACCTGCAATGGGAACTGGACCCAATTACTGTCTTCTGCTAAGTGGTGGCAAAGGTGGTTGAGCCCTTATATTGCAATTCAGATCTGATTCTGTGGAGATGGTCTTGGGGAGGAGGGGAAGGTGCCGCTGGGTGGCAAAGCATTGTGCACAAAATAGGAGTAGTAACATCAGTAATAACAGCATCAGTCACGTTTTTGAATGGACTTTACATTTGAATGTGGGTGTTTTCCTCACTTGTGAGGAATGGGGTCAGTATTGAAGACCTGCCTTTTATTAGTGAAGTGCCAGAGGGTGAGAGGTAAGCCAGAGGCAGGGCTGAAATGTGCAACTTGTGAGAGGTTAAATTTCTCAAGAGAACATCTTACATCATATATGACAGATTTTTCCAGGCTTTGCGTTACAGGCTTCATGCGTGCTGTTTGTGGCAATTTGAGTATTAAGCACAAAGAGGCCACTCTGGCTCTTGCCCAGAAAAGATGTGATTTGTAGGAGCTTCCTGCAGCAATTTTTAGTTTCTAAAAAGCAAGCCTCAACCTTCTGACCCAATATTAATGTGCTAGTATTCATTTCCATCTTAATATGTTTTTGTTGCTGTTCCTGGCACCCTATCTGTCCTTGTGTCACTTTGGCTCAGAGGTCTCCCTCTGCAGCATGCAGTCCTCCTGCTGTTACTGTAGTAACAGTGCAGGAGCCCATTTGGGGTCTTGGGTCCAGCTCCAGGGAACGGGTCTGGGGTGATGTGGCAGTACTGTGTTTCCAGTTGTGTGAGACGCCAAAACTATCAACATTCCTGCCTGTCAGTATTGCACTGTTGTGTGGTGTCTGTGACAGCAGCCTTGCCTTATCCTGTACTGTGTGTGCTACGAGATCTAATCTTGTCCTTTACTGTGCCATCTGACCTTCCTGATCCTCTGCCTTCGTTTCTTCCACCCTTTTCCCCAATTACACGTTTGTGATGAGGGAAAGGAGGAGCTAGAGGTTGGCTGTGTTCCCTGCCTTTGTCAGCAATTATCTGCATAATTTCTCCAGCAAACTTTGGACCAGAACTGAGCCCTGTCATGTAGATGAGAGAAGGGGCTGGACTACCAGCCCTTGAAAAGAATTAAGTGGTCAGGTGGTGCTTAGTTTGGGAACCTTGTAGACTGCAACTTCCACTATAGGGCAAGCCCCAAGGACACATCACTCCCCCTACAGAGATCTGATCTGCTGGAGGATGGGCATGGGGCAGTGTCATGGATGAAAGTATCTCACATGGTTATGATTTAATAAAAATTTAATATTTATTTGTGGTGTGAGGTAGATCAAAATTTAAATTTTGGCAGCACTTAATGGTTGATTTAAAGATTAACAAAGTGATTCAGTAAAATATGATTAAAATATGACTTGATTACAGATTTCAGAATGACAAGATTCACACTAACTTACTAGAGGGTATTCTAAATCCAAAAATATATATATTTATGCATGTAAATTCTCAAAACATACACACACACAGACAGCCTGGAAATATTCGGATAACCAGTGAAATGTATAGACATCTACAGTCGTAAAGGCAATTGTGCATATTTAAGCACATAGATAAGTAAAGAGGTGGATGGAAGACGCTAGCCTATAAGCTAAAATTTCCCTCTTCTCAAGTTGGGAGCAAATACTCACAGTGCATTGGTATTTCTCAATGGGCGATAATTGAGAGTTGAGAAGAATAAGACTTCACCCTGGCCTTCCACCAGTTTTATGGGCAGACAATCTTCAAACTTCAAGAAGTCTGAGAGGCATCCCAGCTCAGGGGAGATGCTGGTCACAGCCTACTGTGATCCAAGAGAGCTCTAAGGGTCTCACTTACAATCGCTATTTATAGGGTCTGAGATAATTGACTTTTGTCAGGTACTTTTCTATTTCAGCCCAGTTTGGATGATGGAATATTCTGGTACTTTCTACCAGTTGCGCAGGCCCAGAACTTGCTAGATCTTGGAGTTCTGGTATCTGCCTCTTTGTATCACCTCTAGATAAAGATGTACTAGGCTGTTGGGAGGTATTGATGGTTCCTATTATTCTTTGAGTGGTAAGAGAGGGAGGCAGAAGCCGGGTGGACTAAGGGGGCACCTTAACACTGCAGTCTACTGCCAATTTCCCAAGCCATTTGAGTTGACATGTGGTCTGTTCCCAAGCAACAGGGGAGGTGGGAATCAGGAATGCTGAGTGCCTTTATGTTCTGGTTTCTGACCTTTCCCTGTTCTTCTTGGGTTGGCATGTGGCCCAAGGAGGGTGAACATTGCACTAAACACCGAGTGGCCTAAGAGGTGGGGGTTGCACCACCACAGGCAGTGAGATAGTAATGTGCCTGATCCTTCCCTCAACACTCGTTTGGTTTTCTGTATTTGCATCAGGAAAGAGTATACAGTTATCTGTCTTGTAACAGGTACATCTGTGAATGTACAGGGAAAAAAAAAAGGTGGCACCTGCCTCAAAATAAACAGTAGGTACTAAATAATAGTAAATGCAATAGAGTGGATGAAAGGTGCATAAGGAAACAAGGAGGTGGTATCTAGGCTGACCATCGCACATTGGCTGCGTTTCAGTTGAGTCTAGAGCGCTATACTTTCACAAGCTTCTCTGTTCAGCTCCTGGGAATAAACTGTCTTTGTTCCCAGCTGTACTGAAATGTTTATTCATTAGATTTTAATATAGAAAGTCAAATCTCATATTCCTTGATCAGTGTTGGTAACTGAATATTATTAATTGTTTAGTCAATACCTGTTAGCATAATAAGCCAACAGAAACCTTCAGTGACAACAGCCTTCAGATTATGCATTCATTCTGTAAATTATTAATAACTACTATTGATCCTCTCCCAACTGATGAAATATTTATCTTTTTTTGAAGAGCAACTTTTTTTTTTTTTTTTCTTTAACTGCGAAACTGTATTTATTTAGGAGTTTTGTTGACTATTTTTCCTTCAGGAGCCAATCTCTTTTTGCAAGGTGTTTGAAGCGGTGGTCTGTGTTTGCAGACCATGACTGTTTTCTGTATATTGTTCTTCCTTGGTATCTTCAAATACTTGTGAGTGTAGTCAAGGCCACTGATCTAGCCAGCTGTTTTTGCAATATAATTTCCTCAATAAGGAAGTATGGAAAGACCTTTATCAGCGTCATTACTGATTTTCTCACTAACATTTACGTGAAAACCTAAGATAAATAAGCCCATGAAGCTAGAAATAAAAGCAGGGCAGTGTGATCTTTTAATGGAAACATCTGCTGCTTTTCTTCAGAAAATGTCAAATCCTTTAGATAGATAGGTCTACACCATTGTCTAATTTTTTTACAGATGTAAACAAAGAGCTTAAGTGATTTAATGAGCACGGTGCAGTAGGTTCAGTGCAGTGCTGGGAACAGGACCTGATTCTCCTACTCCCAAGCCACTAGTTGATGACCAGGATATTCTGTAGCACCTTTGGTAGTTCTCATTAGTATTCTTTCTCTATCCAGGGCTGCTATATTTCCTTTGTTATCATTTCGTTCAGTGCTGCCCCATCAGCACTGGCCATCTGTTTTTCCTGCCAGCGCTTTTGCCGTTTCTTCCATGGCTGCCTTATGCTTTCATCAATCTGCTTGGAAAACTCCTTCTCAAAGACTACATGTACTAGGACACAGAGAGAAAACTAGTTGTCTTCTGATGGTGACAAGGCAGAAAGCCAGAAAGGATAACTAAATTATGATGTATGAGTGTGGCTTCTAGCCTGGCCTGTGCTGAACTTTATGCAACGCATCCTGTCAGTTCAAGAGGATGATGCAACCCTCTAGAATGTAACTCTTGTCATCCCACTAGAAATTCACTCGTGACCAAAGTAAGAACTTCAGTTTATACAAATCTGAGTTCGTATGCTGAAGTAAAAGGCAGAGATGATCTTAAGTTGGGAGGTTGCAGGCTGCATTCCTTCCATGTTGTGTACCCTTTCTAGTTCCCTTCGTTCCCATAGCACTTGACACACTTGCTGACGCTAATATTTTCCTCTGCAATTATGAGAATTTATGGCATCAGAACTAAAATGAGATGTTCTCTCCTGTATTCCCATTGTTCCTTCCCTTGGTGTCTCTGCTTCAAGAATTGCAAGATGGAAATAAATGTGTGTGAAGAAAAGGGATGAGGAATTAAACATTTTGTTTGAGGTAGACTTAACCATATTTTTTCTTCTTGTTGCCACACACAAATGCACATTCTCTCTCTTCTGAGTTAGACCATGTGTTCTTCAGGAGAAGAAACCTGTGACCTGACTGTGTGGGAACTTTGCTGATGTACTTCAAAATAGTCAGATCTGGAAAGCAGACATGTACAGCAAACTTCAGGAAAACTTTTGAAATTTAGGACAGTCCTAATAAAACTTCACTTCTTCCTTTTTAATTTTTTTGGGGTTGGAGTTATAAAAGATGTTGTGCTCATGTTCGAAAACAGAAAGCTGTCCTCCCCAAGTTCTCTGCCTGGCTGGATGACTGTCATAACAAGTGCTGGCTTATGCATCAGAAGAGCTGAGCATGTGGTGCAAAAGATGCTCAGCACATGTAAAATTTGACCATAGACTGTTTTAATATGTGGCTTCAGTTTCATTTAATGATTATTATTTTTTTTAATTTCACCCTACCCCCCTGGCAAAGTGTTTGAATGAAAAATTCAGGATTTGGATGGATAGCTCTGTGAGTATTTACATGTCAAGTCACAAAAGCCATGGGGTGCATCTGCGGAAGTATTTTTTAATTGGTTTTCTTTTTATCTTTTAGGTCTTTCAGCAGCTAAACTGCTGACTGAATCAGGCTTGAATGTGGTGTTGCTGGAAGCCAATGACAGGGTTGGTGGAAGAACTTTCACCGTAAGGGTAATTATCTCCAAACCCATTTATACTACATTATACATATATACATTTATATACTACTATATACACACACATATATGTTGAATGTGTATATATATATGCATATTATACATATACTATGTGAATAGTGTACATAAATGTATTTATTTATCTTTCCTCCTAGAGGACCTACTTGAGGGAAAATTTCTAGAGCACTAGCAGGTAGGAAATTTCCTGATATTGTGCCAGCAAGAGTAGGGAAAGGACTGGCATGATGGTGGGGCCAGAATATTTCCACGTGATCTACACATTCTGGAGTCATCAGTTCTTTCCTCTGGGAAGGAGAACATGATTAGCTATGTTTCAAAATAATTTCCTGAGGAGAGACACTGGAGAAATCTCTCTGAAAAAACACCTGTAAGGCCAACCATACCATGAGGAGCCTTGAGCTGAACCGTAACAGGCTCCATGAGGAGTAAAGTAGGGTGGAGGAACGGCAGGGGTGGCTGGGAACTAGAACCAGCATGTGTCCCTTCACTCCTTTACCTCCTGCCCTATCTTGGCCTGGAAGACCACCTACCCCTCACTCATTAGAAGATCTTACCTGTGCTACTTCCTAGTACAGTCTGTTCTGAACTAGTCATCGAGATACCTGACTGAGCAAGAACCACACAGATGTGTCTGACTGTCCTTCTTTCTCTGCCTGTCAGGCTCTTTCCTCTCATGTTTTTTAAGGCTGTAATGTAACAACAGGCCAACTAAACTGGTTATGAACCCCTTATCTGAGATTTCAGTAATCGCTACACCAGAATGATACCAAAGAATTGAAGTTTTCTGTGGGGAGGTGAATCTTGGCCAAAATGCTCTGGGAGTGTTTAATTTAAAGAATTCCTCTGGATTGCTCTTGTAACTTGTGTGCTGTGTACAAAGGATTTGTAAAGGGCTTATCCTTTTTTTAATCCTTTTTTTTTTTTTTTTTTTTTTTTTTTTTCCCCTTTTGTGTGTTGTGTGTGATAAACTAGAATAAGCAAGTTAAATATGTGGACCTTGGAGGAGCTTATGTGGGGCCAACACAAAATCGTCTTCTGCGGTTATCTAAAGAGTTAGGAATAGAGACATATAAAGTGAATGAAGTTGAGCACCTGATACACCATGTCAAGGTAAGATGCTCTCAAGCATGCTGCTGTAGACGGGCGAGTTGTAGTGATCTGCTTTCTCATTGTTTTCCATCCATACTACAGTGGAGTATACATGTTTAAGTATGCATCATATGAGTTTCTTGGAGAAAAATAAGTGTGTTGATAATGAAGAACTCACACCAATTACTATATGCATGCACATCTACATACGTACCCTATAGACACATCCTGTTAGATGATGCCTTGGTTCAGGTCTGAGGACTTAGTTAAAACCTCTCAAAAAGCTTAATTGTTAATGGACAGTACAACTGTGACTTTGGACACGTAAGCTCTCATATGCGCTGCCCAAGGTGTCTGCAAGTCCCTTTCAGAATTCCTAGAGGTATCTTCAATCAGGCTGAAAGTTTTTCAGGATGGGCTTCCTAAACCAGTGACCATTATTATCCTGACTGAAAGAAACGTGAGAAGTTAAGTCTGGGGAAACTAATATGCAGAGCAGCAAAAGGCATTGTAACAGTAGTTGCAAAAGGCCCTGGGAGTCAAATGTTCTTATGGCGGCAGATCTAAATGATCTGTTCACGATCTGAAACAGGGCATCTATGGCAAAGCTGTTAAAAAGCCCACGTATTCTCAGTATTTGTACTATGCTTTCTCCAAAAGAGCATCCTTTCTCCTCTTCTGATATAGATTAGTGTTGCACTCCCACAGAAGGGAAGCTTTCTATGTTAGTCCTGAGGAAATTAGCAATGATTTTAGGATCTTAAGGAACCAGCTTGTGGGGGGATATTGATATTACTATGCTGGTTGAAATAGCCTTTTGTTTTCCAACAGGCTTTTAGAGTGAGGAGAACAGAGAATGGCACAAAAGTAGAAGTTTGGGCTCTTGACAAGGGTAGTATGTATCCTTTGACCACAAGTGTCTTATTGCATGAGTTGCTGGAGGTTGCCCATAGCATTTTACTGTCATCTATGGATACCTTTTAGCCTGGGATGGTGAGTGCTGGTGTGAGTCATGGCTCTCAGCTTTCCTCCCTACCCAGCACTGATGGAACTTGCTGGCATTCAGGTACGTATCCCAGGCTGGCAGAGGGGGGGTGTGCCTTGGCTTTGTCTGTATGTTGGGTATAGAAAGGGCCTTGAATTGGGACACTAAAGCATTAGGACACAAGTCCAGGAAATCTATACAGTAGTATGGCTTGTATCCAGAAATCCAGAGGTGGGGAAAGCCACTGTGCACCTTGAGACATTCAAGCCATCCAAGCCTGGAGATAAGGGGTGCTTGCTACTTTGGTTGATGTCTGCATCTGTGCAAACAGATCCTGGGGGAGCTGTGAGGAAGGCCGAGGGCCTGGGCTTGCTCCAGCACTCATGTGCCCATGCTAAGACCTGCTGAGAGATGCTCATAGATGACAGGTTATCCCCCTTACATATGCCAGGGGAATGGAGCATCCATGGCTATTTGATGCAGGAAAGTGGCTCAGTTTGAGTGCTGGCAGGCATGTCTGAGATTGACACTATGCTTTACACAAAGCCATGGAAAAACCTGCCCTGGAGGGGGGCCTTGGAGGTTCCTACTCCACCCTGGGCTTGGAGCAGTGTCTATTTCATAGTTAGTTCATGTTGCTTGAGGTCATTCCCAGTGAAGTGTTGAAAGTCTCCAAGGAGAGAGATCCCATGTGCTGGCTGAGGTGCTCCCAAGACATGCTGAGAGCCTTCAGGTTGGATTCAGAGAGAGTTTGTAGGCTCAGGCTCCCAGTGTGGCTGCCTGTAGGAGAGCTCCTGAAGAGAGGAGGGAGAGGTGTGTGCCAGGACTCCCTGGTAGCCAAGCATGAGGTAAAGAGAGGAGATATTCCACAGTCAGTAACACCTCCTTTGAATTTCCTAATTTCATTAGTTTTAGATGTTTTCTTTCCTTTTAGCTTCTGTGTTTATACTACTATGGAATAGTATTAACATTTAACATAACTCTTATTATTAACATAATAAGAATTACTCTCAATCAAATAATTGGAACATGAGCACTGTATAGTAAACATATGCATTGTTGTGTAGCCGAATCAGTGTAATAATCTTCAGACTTTTGCATTTCATGTGTCTGTAATACATTCCTTATAGTTCTGTCATTTTCAGCAATGTGGTTTGCCCATGCTTTCCCTGCAAGTGGACAATGCTCTCATGTGCTCCCTGAAATCTAAGTGGTACTCTCAAGTCATAGCTTGCAAACCAAATTCCAAATTATACAAAGGTCTTTTGACCCTGTGTGGATTTGAATTCACATGCTAACCCAAGATTTTTGATTGCAGCCAAAAATAATTAAATTCTGGACCACAAAATTCTCTGAATTCAGAGAGACAGTAAAACCTAGAAGTTTTAATTCATCTCTCACTACAGAATCAGGCATCACAGTGCATCTTGTAAAGTCAGCTGCTTTTTTTACATATACCCAAAGGCAAAATCAACCCCTTCATAGTTAATTAAATTTGTTTTAGAGGTTTTTAAATACAAGTAATATATGCAGCTTCTTTGTACTACAAAATGCAAAGAATGCATTTTGTTGATCTCTGGGTAGGTCTGTGCTAATTAGGCTTTACCAACTTGATTGGGTTGTGTGGGTTTCTTTTCCTCTTTAATCTTTTTTAATGTCAGGTTCTATTGTGAGATTATTTTTGGTCTCGCTTATATTGTGTGTGATATCTTCACAGAAACTCAAAATTATATTTCTTGCCCTATTTTTTTTTCTTTCCCTCCACTTGCTAAGCAGCCTTTTAATGGTCTTTGAAAGGAGAGGAGTCTGTTCTTTTCATTTGTATAAATACTGGTTCATCAGCCTTAGTGAGAAAATTAGTATAGCTCTTCAAGTAGTATCTGGTAGACAAATTGCTGCCTGAACAGCATTGCTTTTCAATAGTGTAACTGAAGTTAGGTTCATAAATCCAGATTTAAGAAGCAAAAGCAGAACTGTCTGAGAAGTCATCATCTCCTAATAGTCCTCTCATTGGACTGGTAGGCAGATGTAAAACACGTTTCCTTAGCTGCTCAAGTGAGGGCTGGGGACCCTGCCTTAGATAGGTAGATTTGCAACTTTTGATTGGTTTTTGTTTTCCTCACCAAAAAGACAGCTTTTGTCCTAGAAAAACAATCCAAAGAACATATAGTCCAGGTAATTTTTACCCTGGAAAGAAGTATTGAAATATAAAAACATGTCAATTATTGTGAGGGTTTAATTATCAACATATTTTCTTCATTAATTCAAATTGCACTTGACTTTTGTACAGTCTCAATAGCCATGCAAACTTCCTGCATTTTAAAACACAAATTTACCAGTGTTATCAAATGTAACACAGGTTCCTTGGCTAAGTAAGATAACTGTGGAACTGGTTTACTCTGATACCCTAAATCTGTGCAAAGAAACATTTATTTGTATGACTGGTTTGCCAAATTAACCTTTTTAGAACTTGATTCCTTCATATGCAGTAAGGATGATCTAGTCTTTGTCCTGCTATGGTGCCAGCTGAACAACCTCTGATCCCGTTTGTGCTGATGGAGAGCTTGCATGAAAACCTGGCAGCATAGACTGGCAACAAGACTGCTTACTGGCTACATTAGACCAACACAGCTCGTTTCTCAAAATACAATTAGTCTGTGGCAGATCCCGGCCCTCCCACCCCTGCAATTTTGATGCTTCTTGTCTTTTTTTTCCAGATGTTTTTTTCACCAGAACTTTCTATGGGGTAGTGCCACGATCCTTCCTGGAATTTCTCCAGATTATAGCATTTTTGCTAGAAGCTGGTAGTAACACTTGCTCCTTCTAGTCTGTCTCAGTGCAGGCTGCGGATAGTGCTAACATCTGGCTTAGGTAGCTGGCTATTTTGACAGTGTGTTGCACCTGAAACATTGCTCAGGTGGTTATAATTGAGATAAATCCTGCTAGTTGTTTCCTTAGCAACAAAACGCACGCTTGGCATTGCGCACATCCAAGGGTGTCTTTCAGGTTCAAATGATGGGTGGAACATGAAGCATCCTCTCCCCAGTCACTAGACAAATTCTTGACAGAAACTTGCCAATACCTCATTACTTCAATCTGGTTCCTCATAAGAGGATGGAGGTTCCTCATACTCATTCGTCTGCCACCAGCACTGTCTAGAGATGTCTGAATGCACGTCATGCCCTCTTTAGTTTAGCACCGCTTTCATACAAGTGTATACACTTGGCATCTCTGGGGAGAATGCTAACGTGAACCCTGTCTACAGCACATCCCTGAAGGTGAACATTTAGTCTTAGACATGTGGTACTTTTAACTAGGACCACACATCTGCACTAACGTTATCAGGTTACATACTGATCTACAAGAGATCTGCAGAAAAAAAATTTACAGCCCTCCTGGGTGTCATTCATTTTCAGCACTACTGTGCTTATTAAAATGTAGTTTGCTGTGGTCTTGTTCATGAATAAAAAATGTGATGGTCGTGTTGTATTGGGATTTAATTAGCAGCTGGATAAGTGGCTGCTGTATCTAAAGTTACAGAACTCAGTGATGTTTCTTCTGTGATATCAGTGATATATGTGCTGAAGCTAAGCAATATGATTTATTTAAGCTTTTGACCTGCTTCTCTGCAAATCTAGGGGCAGTATCTCCTGGCGTAGTCTGTAGTATAGAGCGTAACAGCTTAAATAGGTTTTTGAATGACTAGATAAAAACGCTTTCATTTTTCTTTGTATATCTTAATTAGAGTGCAGTCAGAGAATGAAATGTGTGTGAGACTCTCAGTTGCCATCAATTTAGGTGAGGCAAAATGGTATCACATCTTTTGTTTTTTCCCCTTTTTGCTGGCAATTTGTAAGCAAGAACTCGGGGAACTGAGAAGAATGTATCTGAATCTTTAAGAAGCTGGGCATCTGGTGTCTTGAAAAGGAAGCCAAGTAAATTCAAAGATGCTTAAATTACTACAGAGACTTGGTAGCTTCACATGTCATTACTGGAATGCAGATCTATGTTATTTTAACTCTTTACTAGATACCAG